ACACAATCAGTCTGACCTCTGAAATTGTGTGTTCTTATATGCGGGTGTTTACTGTAACATTTTGGTCTGCTTAAATTATTCAGCTTGTGTGGTATATACTTAAACAATTATGTCAGCTTTGCGGCTCGGTAAATATCCACTACTGTTCACCTCCACTTTGGTGAATAATTGTTAATTATTTTATACTATTGCTGAATTCCCCGTCTTCTTCACTTTGGTGATGTTTCAAATAATATGTTTACATTTTTAATTACTTAGTAACAAGCTTGATTATTATACTCTTAACTAGTGTTCCAGTTTGGAAGCACAAAATGCTGGCCTGATTCAGTCACTGGAGATGGAACGTCAGCAGGCAACAAACACCATAAAGAACCTTGAGGCCAAGTTGCGAGAGCTTCAAGAGGCCCTGATGGCAAAAGTGCGAGAGTTGGGTCTAGCGTACAATGCTCACCTTCCTCTAGATCTAGAACTGGATGCATTTGCTACTTTGTTGGAGGCAGAGGAAAGAAGGTGTGCTGCAGTAATTAACTAACGATACTACTCAATTGTCTTTGAGAATGTTAATAAATAGTGGGTACACAAATTGAGAAATCAGAAAACCAACACTTCTCTATCTTTCTTTCTCACCTCAGACTGAATCTAGCCATGGAAAGCAAACTTAATACGACACCAGTACGTTCCCACACCTGGCATGCTACCCCTACAGAGAAAGTTGTCATCCCAGCAACCAAACGTCCTGCCACCACCTTGGGAATTGCTCATTCTCCAGCAACTACAAGCACTGCAGTACTACGAAGACCCAAGACTATCTCAGGTATAAACCTGTTACACCCTGGCAGACTGTGTACCATATGCATCTAGACTTGTGTAATATTTTGCTTAGATTTTATTTATGTACGTAAAATGCCATAGGATGCAGACCTTAAAGTATCTACCATATATTCACTTATCAACTGGTCTAATTCAAGTTACTATTATGTTACTTTGACCATTATTGAGGGTTAACTATAACTTGCAATTGGCTAACCTGAGCATTATTTAGGCTAACTTGAATGCTACTGAGGTGAGGCTAATTATAACCAGATCAATTGCTATTGATACTGACCTAGTTACCATGTCTCAATGATAGACTCACTTGACTTGTAAATCACAGAGCCTCTTCAGGATGGTTCCAGAGCTGATTACAGATTTTAGGTCAATGTTAAGTGTGCATAATTTTTTCCATAACTCAGTACAGACTGTGTGAAAAATATTAGGTAAGCTAACTAGTAATTGAGTAAGGAAAATGTTTGATAAGGGTTTTAAAGTTAGGGGTAAATAACAATTATGTAGTAGCTGCCAGAGACCAAAAAAAGATGCCCATAACAACTTTTTCTCTAGGGGGCCAATTTTTGGATTGCAAGTGCAACTGCAAGTGCCTGGTGTAAACATTTTAACTATGATTTGTTTTCTGCTTGCGATTTGCTCAAGGTACCTTAGCTGGCACTAAAGTTAAGCCTGTAGTCCATCCGATAACCACCAGTAGTCCATATCGGCACACCTGGTCCTATGTACCAAACTTTGTGGATTACCACAGCCCTACATCAAGGTAATTAATATATGTAATGCTAGCAGTAGCTTTTGAGACAATGAAAATTTGCATTGCCAAACTGGCAAATGAATTTTTCTTGTTCCATTAAGTTAATTGGTGCTGGGCCTCTTAATTGAGCCAGTACTCACCCACTATAGTTAAAAGTTTTTTTATATCAAAGTCTTAGAGTGGCTCTTAATGGTTCTTTTGTTTCAAGATCAGTGATCAAAAATTGTTGTTAATTTTTGTCCCAGAGTTAACATACTTTGACAGTCTCAATATCATCTATTTTGCTCCGGAAAAGGGTATAGATTTTTTTATTTTAAAATCATTTTCTATATTTATTTAATGATTATGAAATTAAAATGAAAAGCTTTTATAATATTATGAATCATTAATAGTACAAGGCATTGGATAATTAATATTAACACAAAACTGCTGCCTGAATGCTGTTCTGTATTGTCAGTAAGAGGTTTCTCTCTATTTTTAATGCTTAAAATGAAGTAGTTTACTTTCGCTTCTTTTTGTAATTAATTATTAATGAAGCATTAACATTTGTTCTTCAATTGCTAAATATTTATTCATTGGTTATCTTACAAAGTTTCTTGACAGTCCATTTAAACAACCTTACAGCTGTACATGTAACATACATGTACAAGCAAGGCCAGATTAATTAATTAATGATTGTGTAGTTCCAGAAAATATCCATACCTCCACCATGGAAGGCATTTTTTTCTAGCACCTCCCCACCCCTCTGGAAATTCCAGTTAAGCTTCATACATTTCTTTAAATGTTTTGGTCTTCCAGAACCCCCCCCTCCCAGGAAATTCCAATCTCTTATGTGGGGGGAGTATGGATATTTTCTGGAACTGCACATTAGTACACCATTTTGAGCATTGCAAGTTTTGTTTATTTCCAGATTTAAAAGAAGACTACTTCTCTCAGAATCCCAAGAAGAGAATTCACAGCGATCAAAACCATCAAAACCTGTTCTGACAGATGCACATAAACTGCTTCAAAGGCAAAAGCAAGTTGATATTGGAAAGAACACGTTATCTTATGGCCGTTACATAACTGCAGTGTCAAGGTAATTCTGATTCACCACTTAGAAGCAGATCCTCTTCCACAATATTTATTAATTTTACTGTACACAGCAAGAGTACTTTTAGAGGTGCAAAATATGCTATGATTTGCTATGGTCTGCACATAGAAATAGAGGCAGAGATTTCTGGTCAGGTTATTCCTGTGCCCATAAAACTTAATGACCAACGTCTCAGCCCATCTTTGGGCAAACGTATGAGGATTGTCTACTGGCCTTGATGTTCTCTTTCACATCTCCTCTTCATGTTAAATGGAGTATTTTTGTGGTTGAACTTGTTTCACAGGGAGCAGCGCACAAAGGAAGACCCCAACACCCCTGACAAATTCCAAATGTGCAGCACTCGATCATGGGTGGGACAGATCAAGAATTGGCGTCGCAAACTCCATGTCTGGGACCCACCGTCTGAAGGACAAGAAGATTTGTTCTCCTCCTCTTCACAGAGGTATTTAGAATCAACTCTCTATTTCTGTTGATTTTGTGGTGGCAAAATAAAATGTGCCAAGTGGTTACCAGTCAGGAATGTGTATGGGTAGCTGGCAAACTGGGCTTTTACCCATCCTGTCATTTGACGAGTGGAGATTGTGGAGCCATCTAGTACACAGTTCAGGTTTTAATCAATTCAACATCCTGCTGTAATGATTTCTTTTAATTTTCTTTTCATAAAAGCAAAGGTACTAAGCTTTAATAATTAAAACTTATTTTAATCGTGTTTAAATAAAAGTTGTCTGTCTGTCTGTCTGTCTGATATCTACAAATATATCTCTTTTATTCAACAGCAGTGTCCAGTCTTTTCCCTGTGAGGTGAAGATGGAGGTGGACAGTAATTGTGATGCTGATGATGATATGATGTCTACATCCACCCCAAGCAGTGTCGATGATCTGTTTGGTGACTTTGATCTAGATGCCTGTTTGATGAATGATGGCTTGCCACTTTAAACCTTTTCACTTAGTAAATTTTATGACATTCACTCTAAAAGGTAGATAAAAATTTACGAAAATAAATAATCAAAGAGAACACATTTTTATAGATTTCTAAAACTTACTGGCTGAGAGTTTTAAATTTGAGATTCTTTGTAGTTACTTTTCACTCACTCAGTCCAGACAAAGGCCATGTTTAATTGTAACAAGAAATCCCTTTTGAGATCTTTCAATGAGAAGAAACCATTTTTAAATTTATTGTTAAGTATCAGAATATATTTACAATAGCCTTCAGCCATTTAAATTTGTGTTAATTGACTGTGGATTATTCTGAGCATAAAATGGTGTTGCAATAATATTTATCGTAGAAAGGCATACACATTTTACATCCACACAATTTCATGTTTCCAGGGATTGTTCACTTTTTAGTTCAAATTTTTAGAACATAATTGGTTCTTGTTACCTTTCTGTAATTAGGGATGAAACAAATTCTTTAGATCACTGATTTGGACTTGAGACATGGCTAAACATTGTCTTATCTGAATCTTAATTGCAACATGATTAGTAATAGTAATTGGACTGAGTGGAGTACAATTCAGGGAGCAATATTGCAAAAGTAATATCAGATGAGCGCAAAGCAAAAGGACAATTTGAAATTTCAAGCATGATGACTCCCTGAATTGTACGACACTAAGTCTAATTACTAATCAATCGTAACTATAACAAATTTCAAAATTGACAAAGTCTTATGACAATCTCATTTGAACAAAGAAGGCAGTAGCACTCTCCACAATCTATAAAAACTGTAGGAAAAATTGAAAAGAAAGCCATTAGAGTGCACATAATTGATGTGTGATTCACATGGGTATCCAATTCCAAAAGGTAATACAAAAAGTTGTAATTAGATACCTGTAATTGAACACCCACATTATTGTGCTGATAATTACATGACAAATAGGCAGGCTGAGAACCAATCACGGTCAAGAATTTTGTTACAGATACAATTAATATCACTGTATTAGTCAGCAAACACTGTGTTTTACAGTTCAGATAGTAATGAAAATTTTTGCGCTCTTTTTTTCTACAATGAATATCTGCTCCAGTATGAGTATTGTTCTTTAACATCACTATAGACTTTAACATTGCATCAAATGTTTTTAACTATGTGTAAAAGCATTGTTGAACTTGTTGAAGTTAGAAAAGAAGGTAAAAATTTTCAGTGTTACATTTTATTGCTGAAATTATTACGAAGTGAAAATAATTTTAACATTGTTTTAATTAATCAGCATTTAATTGTAACACTACTACTTAACAGGCTTAGGGGACTGTCAAATCTTTGGGTTTGTCAACAGTGATTCTTAATATTAACAGACATTGTAATGTAATCTGCTGAAAATAATTTTGAGTAAATTAAAGTTATTTTGATACTCAACATATAGTTGTCCTGAGTAAATGTGTTATTGTTTTCCTTTCCTTCAACAAACATCTTGCAAAAGAAATACTAAATCTGTAAAGAGAACCATAAGATCTATATGAGGCAACTCTAAAAAAAAATTACCAAAATGAAATATAGAGAGTTCTTCGTCACTATGCTGCAGAAGTTAAGCGTGGCATTTATAGCAAACAGCAACTTTTGCCATCTGTCTTTAGCTGTTTGAATAATAGAATGAAAATATTTGTATTTGTGGTGAATAGTGGGAGTTGTTTTTCTATCTTTGAATATATGTAAGAATTAGACATGCATCATGCCCATAATCTACCCATTAATGACTGCAAGCTGGTGACATAGAAATTTTGGCTTTATTTAATTAGTAAAAAAGGTTCAATATTATATCAGGTTGTTTGTAGAAGATTACGCCAAGTGAACTACATGCATTTCTATTAACTAGCCTTTAAATGGCCAGACAAAACAAACTTTATCTCCAGTCCGTACTGCACACTATCGAGAGTTTGTTTGTGTGTGTTTTTATTCATGTAAGACATCACAAAATAATAATAACAATGACAATAATAATAATAATATTCAATATTTTTATAGTGCACATTAACATATATATGATCAAATGCGCTTTACAAAATATACAGTCAAAAAATAAAATTAAAATCCACTAAGTAAAAATCAAAAGGATCGATTGAATGTAAACATTTTGCAACTACTTACATGAAGTAATTTCAAAGTTTCAAAACAACCCCCATTATGGATGCGAAGTGGTCGAAGCTTTATGCTTCATTCTTCCTCATATCACTTGATGAAACAACTTTGCAGCTATAAAAATCAATGAAGCTGTTAAAAAAAAATTTGAAAGGCTTCAAAGATAAGGTACGTGGTTCATAATGAATAACATCGATTTGCATTCCATCAAGTGAGATTTATGTTTATATACATTAGGGTACTGAGACTGTGCAGTGCGGACTGGAAATCATCTTTAAATTACTATCTCTCAAAGAGGTGAGAGCCCTTGTCTTGAAGCTGTCATCAGATATGAACATCGTGCTAAAATGACAACAAGAACAATCCCATTTCACTAACATTCTTGTTTAATCAGGCTGTTGGTTGTGTTCTACAAGCGTTAATCAAGTTTGATAGTGGATGGTTCCCACTGATTTGCTGATCAGAAACTTGCACAAAGTTATAACCCCAATTTGTGTATTTTCAACAGAGTACTCATATAAATCACACAATCACACATTAAATTTTATCTTAAAAGTTATTTTATTGTAGCTGCATCAAGTACAGAGTAGACTTAAAAGGCTGTGATTCTTAAAATCCTACTGATTAAAAAAAATCACTTGTAGTGGCACTTTTAGATAACTGAAGTGTCATGCCCCTTCTTTCAAAACACTATAACATTTCACAGCCAAATTAATCCAAATGTACATGATAACTTCATACATTTCTTTTGTACAAAACAGCAGAATATATTTATATATGTGACATTACTTTATAAAAATTATTTTTTTTCCCACTTTTAAATTTTTCATACCTAGCTTATCTTACTTTTGAGTAGCAACTCAATGTATTTACAAATTGCTTTGGCATGAATCGGTTTCTGTATGGAATATAATGAAACACAAAGTACATTTTACTGTTGACTGCAGTTCACCCAGTGTTATGCAGTACAAAGCAGATAATTTTCATATTTTAGGGTGGTGAGTTAGTGTTGTTCCACATAAAGATATTAAAACCTGATAAGTACAGCATATCAAGTCCTAAGCCATTGATCTTTACCATGTACATTGAAAATGGTCAAAAGTTTCAATCCATTTCTTTTTAAAAGTATCTAAACACATCAACCCAAGAGCTCTGTAAAGAGATGACCGACTGTCCCCTGGACGTTTGCTCATGGCAAACTGACTTACGTTAAATGGCAAGGGAAAATAATTTTGCTCAGAAAAGTCAAAACATAACAAGAATTTTGGCAGCTTGTGTAAATGCGTTGATTTCAGATTTGGCAAACTCAAATATAAATGACACTGACGACACTCCATAACAAAAATGAATCTTTAAAGCATACAGTATGGGACATTAACTTGCTTTCCTTGTGACAAACCATTCGATAAAGAAATGGATGGAATAATTTTGAATCAAGTTCATTTATTTTTGGCTTTGGCAACAAAATTTGGCTGTGGGTTGTTTCAGTTGAAACAAGCTACATCAATCAACTAACACAGACAAATAATGTAACTATGCAATTAAACCACGGAAACTTTGGAAAGAAATCTGCTTTAAAGTTATGGGACAAGACATCTAAATCTGATTTGCTTCCCACATCAACCTCTTTTCTTGATTAGCATAAAAATAACTGCCATACTGGTTTGGGAATTTGCTCACTGAAAGCTAAATTATTATTACTAGCAAGATCTTTGTATTTCTCAAATTGATTTGTTTCAAACTTTATCATTCATTACATGTTATTTTACCCTCTCGCATTGATGGTGTCATGTCGCTTCGTTGTTAAAGAGAGACACATAATGATGGGTTCCCCACAACTCATCTTCCATACATGGACCACTTGAATATCTTAATGTCTCAGCACGCAACTTCCATATCAAACCTCTGACAACTGTGGAGTGCCTTTTAGGCTACACAGATGCTTCAATTACTTTATACAATTCAAAGGCTTTATAAATGCTTTGCTGTTGTTCACTGTCCTTAATTGTGCTTTTATCCTTTCACTCCCACTTTACAGAGGACATCTGAGCCTTAACTTAAATCCATTTTTATCATGATCTTTTAATCTGTGTTGACATTCACTTCTGCTCTACAGATGGGACATGTTCTGTTTGACTGCAAAAGATAAAACACACTGGAATCATTTACTTGTTCAATTGCTTAAAATTCCATTTGACCAAGCTCAGAATATGAATTCACCCACCAACTGACCATCATTACTTTTAAAATTTACATGTACTAAGACATTAGCTCTTCCTCAATCTCCTTACCTTGAGCCATTTATCAATACATCTTGTGTGATACTCATGAAGACAGGGTAGAACCCTGACAAGCTGTTTCTCTTCAAAATCCACTAAGCACACCACACATCTTTTGTCCTCCTCTTCATCCTTTGGTCCTGCTGTAACACGGTACGTAGGTAGTTGATCAATTTCTACACGAGACAAACCTTTAGGTTTCACCTCCCCCATCTGCTCTGCAAAGTTTAGAAGAGTCTGCAAGGAAGTTTAAGACAAAAACACTTAATACTGAAACAGTTAACTGCCTATTTAAACCTTCTGTATACTCACTGAATCTCCAAAGGTTAAACTTCAACAGAATTAAAGGTATCAATTTTACAAGTCGAATGGTTACCTCATAGTTTTCACGAGGATGGAGTTCTTCTTCCCAGGCAGGAGGAGGTTGCTGTGTTGGTACTGGCTGCATTGACATCACAGATATTAAATGATACAGTANCTGACTCTGGTTTCTCTGTTTCTTTTGGAGGTCCCTCTTTCTTCGGAGCTTTCCACGTACACTGGCCCAGTTTGACTACTACAAGATTTACCATTGAGAAACAAAACTGCTATGATGCCTCTTTGATTTACTAAATAATTTTTAAGTAACTCTTATTCTTCTTAATTTCATAAGTCCTTTCCCTTTGATTAACTAAATATCTTTAAGCATTTGATGAGTCTTTTCAGTTCTAAAGTTAATTTCAAAACTCAAGGTAAATAAATTAGGTAACTGTCCTTAAGTAAACAAGTTACTGGTTTTTATGTAAGGTTTGTAAAATGTATTGAGTAGAACCCAACAAAACTTCTTCCCCAGTCCTCTAGCACTTTGTTACATCAGAGTTAAACCAAGTACAGAGGAAAATAAAACAACACCAATAACTACGGGAAAACAAGGCATTTTTTGATCAATAGAAAGTTGTGATAAGAACATTGTTCACTCTGATGAAGGTGAACAGATGCCGCTGAAAATTCAGTGAACAAAAAACCTTCAGATTGGATATATTTAAGTCAAATGATAAGAATATTGCTTAAGACTTGTTCCTAACATAACAGATCACCTTTTTATCCGCCCATGTGCAATACAAAAAATCCAAAAGCACTTATTTAAACCAATGTTTCGTAAGATTATCATTTTCAATTAGATTTTAATAATATTGTTCAGAAATTTTTAAATATGATTTTATTGATTTACATTATACTGCAAATGGAGGTGTAGATATTTCAGTTGTATACAATATTTAATTTCAAGTTGATATATTAAATCAAATTATAATCAAATATCATATATATAGCTATAAGTGATTTTTGCAATGTAGTTAACTATATTATTGATTTTACCAAGTGCCAGAACATTTTTATTCATTAATTTTATTTATATTGTTAGATTATGAAATATTATGTTAAATTTATGCACTCAATTACAAATCATAGTATTCATTAGATCACCTGACTAAGATTTAAATTGCCAGTCATAACAAATTTGAAATTACAGATTGAAAGCTATTATATCCCAGTTGATAAAGAAGTTATTGACACCAATAAGAAGGAAATGAAATTGATTATTAATAACAATAAAGATCTTTATCAAATCCACATGGATATTTATTCACGGTTATGTTTGCAATCATAAATCTTACACCAGTGATATTAATGTTGACTATTATAAAGATGCATTTTATACACAGATTTTTTATCACACAAGTTTTTATATTGAGGAAGCATTTTCACAGTATTTATAAAAAAATGTCATTTTTGCATTTTCACACTGTTGTTTTTGATAATAAGTAAATCAATCTCATAGTCTGATTCTCAGACAGCCCAAGGTCACTTGCTCTAACTGCATCCACTCTCAATAGAGCAGGGAAACACAAGAAACGGACCAACTCAGACCATCTGAAAATCTGACAAGCTAGGCATCTATCTTATTGTCCTTGATTAAGTTATTTTTATTTAGTCTAGTACTTTTGAGTATGACAATAATTAAAGTAAGTTACCTTTGATTTGAAAAGTAAAAACCATTGATCATTAGCTAGAGAACATCTGTTAGTTATTAAATGAGTAAAATTTGACAATAAAATCACTTTTTCATTGCACATTATTTATGTTTTCTAGTCTTTCTGGATATTTTGATACATTTTGTTTGATTAACATACAGGAATGGCTTGAACACTTACATTTTTAATATAAGTGACCAAATTTAGTGAGTCTAAATTGTACCCCTTGAAAGTGTATATACATGTAGCCATTAACAGAAATGGAAGTTCAAATGGAGTTTTGTTAAGGCCACTTTAAGTGGAGCTGCCCACTTTCAAGTGTTCATAAAGAGAGACATAGCTTTGACTGCATGAGGCAGATTGGATTGTCCTTGGGGCTCATTCATTCTGTTGAACTGCACATTCAGTCTGTCTCAATGTCTTTTCTGTTGTTTGTCTCCATCTGTGACTATTTGACCAGTTACTTTATTGTTAAACAACTCCAAATTGCACCCCCCCCCCCCNTGAAAGTTGGTCCCATTATACATGTATATGGTCTATGATGTAAACTTGATATCATATCAGCCTTAGTGTTTTGCATAAAGTAATATTTCGCGAGATGTAAAGGTGCTTTTGAATCTGATTTTGGAAATGTTTGTTGTTTTGTGGTTAATGAAGGTAGCTCAAGGAAACAGTAAAGTCTACAGTGTTATATTTTGAAGTTATGACGTTTCATGAAAAAAAAGAAACTTTGTTTCTTCTAAGCTTTTTCTTTTTTTTTTTTAGACTGGCTTGATATCTCAGATTTTAAAATTGAAAACATGATTCATGTCATCCTTTAAGTGCCATTTTGTCTTTGTTTATATCCAGTCATACAGGAAACGTTCGTATCTTGGAGGTTAATCCCGATGGCAATTATGTCAGAGTCTTCAACACTTCCAGCTTCAAAGTGAGTTCACTTGTGCAAGCACGAATTCTAAATTTAGAAACCTATCACCAAAATAATAAATCTTATTGTTGATTCATTAGTTTGAAAATTTTTTGTCTAGGAATTGATTCAATTTGGGGGCTCAAATCACTCCTGAGACACATGTATTTTGCAGACCCTGATTGTTTAAAGAACAGATAACTAAATGGTATTCTCCTGATAACTTACTATCAAGTGGATTTAGAAAACAGTCCTAAGAAAATACGTGCGCTGATTTGTTAAAAATCGTGTTTCTATTAACTCGATAGAAACACAGAACTAGCACGAGCTGTTGGCGTAATGATGCCGCGAGCAAAGAGAATTTACATTTTGATAATCAAAGTTAACAAGTTATTTTCCTTTCTTTCGTCGTTGTGTTTTCTAAAAGAAATAGAAAACATGTTATCCGTGTTGCTAGTTATAGAAACACTCGTGAAAGTTTGGGAGAACTCGAAAAAGCTGTGGAAACACTCGCCTGTGGCTCATGTTCCCACAGCATTTCTCGTTCTCCCAAACTTCCACTCGTGTTTATAACGTGTGTATAACTCGATAGCAACACGGTCTCTGCTTTCTATCTCTTAAACATCTAAGGCCGCTGATTGCGATATAATCTATCTACTGGACAGTGATTTATCGGTTGGATGGTGCTATTCATCCACTGAACAACCAGGTCCAAGAATGGTCCTATAAAAAGCATGGGGTTACTCGTGGGAAATTTTGTAAAGAACCCCAAAGAGGTATACCAAGATCCTGTTTTGTGGGCGTGACTTGAAATTTTTTTCATTCTTAATGGATACCAATTCTGAAAAAAGACATTTTATTATATGGCAAGCTCCGCGAGCGGGAAAGATGAATCAAATCCTGCGCTGTGATTCGCTACCCGAGCGGGCAAGATGGGGCTATCTTGCCCGCTCGGGACTACCCGCCGTGTCCCGCAAGAAAAATTTCCCCGAAAGCCATATAATAAATCCTTTNCAGCCATCTTGACCGAACAAGCTTGGTCAATAACCCATATATCTTTCGGCTCAATATCCTAAAAGTTAGCGCAAAAGCTCTTGCTGTGGACCTTGTGAGGCTGAACACCTCAAGAGGTACCAAAACCGCTTGTGTAACCACTGAAAGGCATGACACCCCCGTCCTTTTAATACAGGAGTTTTCCCCCCCCCGGGCAAGAGACCCTAGGCCTTAATAAGTTTAGACAGATAACAGACGTTATAGTATTGCTCTTGTGACTTACGCATGGCATGGCCTTGATTTGTTCCCAGGATGAAGAGATTGGTGGGTTTATGATTCAACAGAATGTCGCTGGAAGGCCTGTGACAGTCTTCCGTTTTCCTCCGAGAACTCGCCTAAAGGCTCTGTCACATGCAACTGTAAGTATTGCAATTACGAGTTTGCACCTGTTGGGTCCTCTCGCATTGGTTTAGACTGGAAAGAACTTCATAATTAGTTACTCCACGTCACGATCGTATCAACCAAGATGTGTTAACGATATCGTAATCTGTTTGATTCTCCCGGCCCCCTTGTAGGTGTGGTCAGCAGCAAGTTTGTCGAGACACAATCCTCCATCAGACTTCCTGTGGAAAGATCAGCACAAATGGGGGACTGGACCAGAGTGTACCACAATCCTCTGCAAGCCGAATGGACAGGTGGGGCTCGCTGTTTGCGTCATTAGGGGCGATGTAATGGATGGCGAGAGTCAAGGGAACAAATACGTACTTTAGTCAGAGTAAACTGAACTTGTGGCTTTTGTGTAAGAGGTTCTTTAAAGCATTAATATATCGCAAAACATTGGAAGGTCACTATTTGAAACTACCGCTCAATACATTTAGTTTGATTGGCCTTAAACGTAGGGTCCACTAATAGACTTTCAGAGTTAGAGCCACCTACCTTGCACATAGTCGACAATACCACATGACGGTACATCTCAATGTGCTCAGTTGAATGGACACACACTAACTAGGAACCATTTAGAAACATTTCACTTTTTAACTGAGGTTTGGCTGGGGAAGTGAAACGGTAATTAGTTAAATTAAACAGTGCTCAGGCTAACTATTTCGCGTATTACTATATTATACAACTATTTTTGTTAACAGTGAAGTTTGTTTTTGATATTCTGTAGGCTGTAGCATGGACCACTGCCGCTTATCCATTCGGTGTGCCCAACCAAATTCCCACACGAGACACAGGTCCAACTGTCTTGCCAGAGACTGGTTTAGACAAAGGGCCTGTCACGGAAAGGACTTCCCCTCGCTCTCCAAGGTGGGCATAAATTTACAGCTAGAATAACTCGAAGACTGCGCGCGAAAAAAAAAAGGTGACTGTTTCGTAGTCTACTGTAACCACTGGTTCATTTTGGTGAATTTTTAAGCCACCAGGCTAACATTAATAATCAGCTGGTCGAAATTTTATGTAACGCATTCATTATAAGTAGATTTCAAGCGTTTTAGTAAGTCCTTACTTCCCCGATTTCATCAGGTTTAAAGCCCCCGACCCTGTGCCAAGAGAGATAGAAGGCAAACCTTTCTCTAACCCCCCAACTGACCCTCTTCATCCACACACTGTTCAACCCAGGACCAAGACTGGCGGCCATGATGCCATGAGTATGCACCCTCAGGCGAGATCGCAGACAGAAAGGCCGGACCCTTCTGGGGCCAGTCGAACTGGAGGTGCTCCCCTAAGAAGGTTTACAGGGACGTCTCTACCGAATTGCAAGGTTGGTGGTAACAAAAGGGAACTAGAGCGGTTTTAACTGAGTGTCGTAAAACCAAAACCAAAGCAATTACTTACCAATTAGACTACTCAGCCAATCTCAAACCGTAGTAAAACCAAAACCAACGTGATTGCCTGATTACTTTCGACATTTAATTGAAAAGCGCTCTATTAACAATAAAACTTGTCAACCTCAAAACAGTCTTGATAGGTACGCTAATTAACTGGAATATTTCAAATTCGTTTGTTGGGAAAAGTACGACCGACCGTTAGTTCTCAGTCGGAAAAAAATAGAAACTCATTATGGCGCGTGAATGAGAAACGTTATATTTGAAAAGGTCCAGTGTTGGTTAATTCAGAAAAACAGAACAAAACAGCTACTGATTTCTTTTCAATGATCAACAGAGCTCAGCGCCAAAGAATGGCCAGGGAGGATCCATACGTGTTTTACCAGCAACAGACTTCAGTTCACCGTCACAAAAACATGAAGACAGACTCAGCCAATTAAGCAGTCAGCAGAAAGTTGAGTTCGCGCCGCCAATGCCACGACCGTATGTCATAACGCACACATGGTAAGGGAATGGGACCAATGCAATCTTGGGATGATCAAATCAGGAAACCGTTCCATGAATGCTCCTATCTCCGAGACTTATAGTTCACAAAAAAATAACTCTTGCACGCCTTGCGTGCCTATGTTTTTTCAGTTGGTTAGGTGTGTGGTGCTTTATCGAAAAATAACAAAAGAGCAACGTTCTTTGGTTAATCTATATGTTCCAACATTTCAACCAAGCGACCGTTAAGGTAGTAAGTAGTATTCATCAATCAAAACACAAGTGCTGTAAACTAGTCCTACATTTGCCACACAATGGATGTTTAATAAATTCGGTTTTCAATGCCAAAGTGAACACATGGTAAGGGATTGAGACAATGTAATCTTGGATGATCAAATCAGGAAACCGTTTTCTATTGGGAATGACTTTTTTCAGTCGGTTAGGGGTGTAGTGCTTTTTTTAAAAAAGAAAAAGAAACAACGTTCTTTGGTTGTCTTTGGTTAATCTTTCAATATTTGCCACATAACAGACATTGAACAAATTCCTTTTGCAATTCTCCCGACTTAACATGTTTGATTTTAATATTGGCTTTTGCCTGTTTCCTTTCTTAACAGATTTAGAAGTACGCACATTCACAAGAAACATTCAGAATGAGAGGGACTACAAATGATGTCACTTTAATGATGTCTCTGAGTCCATGAACATTACTAACCTGGAGATTTGGTACAACCTTAACATTTGTTCCTTTGTTCACTCCACCCGTGGATGGAGCATGTAAATAACTGGCCTCGGTACGGATAAAGTGCACGCCAATACCAATGTTATCCCAGTTAGTGATGCATAGATGAGCCATGTCAGGATTTCGTTTTTACAGTGCTTGCCACTTGACAATCATTTTTGTTAATTTTTTGCGCTTTTCTCGTGGCTTCTTTACTTGATTTGGCAATGAAAATGCAATCAGTGAGGGTGGCAGAGTTGTCAACTGTCAGAGAGCGCATTTCAAAATTGGCAACTCCGTCTCTGACAGTTCTTGCGCAGTGATTGACCAGTCAAAAAGACACCAGAATGCTATCAATAGCACCAGCAGTAGCAACAGCACGGTAAGGTTCTACAGAGCTTCCAACTGAAGTGAAATTCATTTTCTGCAATGTAAATAGACCCTTATCGCTGGTATAGCTGGCATAATATGACAGTGAAGTTATCTTTTATATTATATAGAACCATTATCGTGCCTGTTAGTCGTTGCAAATCGGCAGAATTTCTGACTCTAAGTTGATAGCATCCTACGCTGACGCTATTTGGACTCTCTGCGGAGGAGTGCGTCAAAAGCCGCAAGAATTTCTGGGTAGTTGACTACCAGGCAGACAGCAAACTCCATTTCATAGTACGTTACACTAACTGGGAAACAAGTATCAAATAATTGCACGTCAAACACTGTAAGATCCTGGGTAAGCAAAAGTTTTCCAGGACCCCTGTCGGTTTGAAATTGAATTTTTTTATAAGCACATTTTCAATTCTGAATAATTGTAGACCTTTTTAAGAATTTTAATATCACGAATGTACGACGTCTTCAAATGTACTTTGGAAAGAAGATATCTAATGTTGAATGAATAATTTTGGTCGGGGAGGCAAGTGACGTTTTAGACAAATTTGGAAGTTCGGATTATCTTCAACCAATCAGCTACCTCGTGCCCAGGCTCCGTTGCAATTTGTCGGTGAAGCGTGTTTCGCCAGACTCCAAGGAGGGACGCAAGGGACAAGGTAGACCAATCAGGAATAATCATAGCTGTTATACAGCTAAGCCTGCGTTACATACTTTTGTAAGCTAAGAAGGCACAGGAACGAGATTTAAGGGTCGCACTTCGCACACGTTCAATACAATGTAGCCCGACTCTGTCGCGTCGGTTGTGCGTCTAACCGACGAGTACTATAGTAACGGCCAAACAGTGTAAGTTGAGCGTTGGGCGCGTAGGGAGGAACTTGTTTCCCAGGCTGTATTTGCATGGTGTGAATGCGTGACTTGAATTGTACTAAAAAAAAAAAAATAGTTTCTGAAATAAAATTACACTAATGCTGTTGTTTGAATTGTGCTCATTTTCATGTCGCCTGTTAACGGGCTCCGACTGGAAGGGTCTGACTAGGAACTGACTGAGACGGAGGGATAGAGAACGCTCGGGTTTCAGATTATGCAAATGTTTTCGTCCTGTGGACGTTGCTCTTTTACTTCTCAGGTTTTGACTGTGAATTTGTTTTGATTAAGTCACTGGAACGATCTCAGTTCCCCCACCCCGCCTTATTTTTTTTATTTTTTCATTTTTTTTATTTTTTATTTTTTATTTTATTTTATTATTTTTTTTTTTTTCATACGCTTTATGTTGTTTAAGTCACCCTTACAGGACGATTATCTCCACGAGTAGCTCGCGTGCGGGATAGATTGACGTGTCAGCAAGGTCAATACAGTTACTCTTTCGCTGCATTACTCTTATTCCATAAAAGAAACGAGGTCATTACTTTCTCTCCTTATCACATATATATATATTTCATTTCATTTCATTCATTTCATTCATATATCTACAAAAATCAGTAGGTTTACAATTCAAAATGTAATCTCGCACAATAATTCCTATATCTCAAGCAAGTATAATAAATCTGTTTAAACTCGTTCCAACGTATTTTATTATTTCTTTTTTTAATGATCGAACTTAGTAACTAAGCTGGAACACAAGTAACGATTATCGAGGAGCATCACCCACAACAAATATACTTAAAAGTCATGCGTTTTCTTTGGTTTTGCACTGCTACGCTTAGTGATCGACTTTGAAAATTCTCGCGCCAAATTCTCAGCTAATCAGAAGTCAAACCAAAACCAATCGTAACTCGCTCACGCACATGTTTTCCCGCGCTTTGCAGCGGCCACCTATATTTACTTTGATCCCTGATTGGTTCGCTGGATATTCTGTGTCCTTTTGTAATTGGCCAGATTAATTTTGATTTTCAATTAAAAGCCGCCCTGACATAGAGTGGAGAAGTATCTAGGAAAGTATACTCTTTTCACGTAAAGACCAAGCCCTGCTGTAAATTCATAATAACAATAACAATAACAATAACAATAACAATAACAATAACAATAACAATAATAATAATACGAATACTAATACTAATACCAATAATAATATAATAATAATAGTAGTAGTAATTTTTTTAAATAAACTTTGTTGACTACTTTTTCGTACAAACTTGAATCTTACATGTATCTGGTAAAAAGTAAATAACACATATTAAAACATAGTAAAAAGAAAATAACACATATTAAAACATAGTAAAAAGAAAATAACACATATTATACTAGCCTCAGCTACAGTTCGCTCCATGAAGGAAACTAAGAGTTTTGGCGCTATTTAAAAGTTTTACACTGTACTGTGACGCTTAAAATTTCGGAAGCTTAAAAATTTCGGACGGTTTTATTTTGGGGCATTTTTTGTCCGAAATTAAAATTGTCCGATAATTTTGGCAAGTAATGTAACAAGTTTAGGTTTGGGGGCCAACATTCCAAAAAGAAAGTGAACCTAGGCAACACTTCCAATTTGCCTGTTCTAGAATATTTTCCTGTAACGAAAAAAAGGAGTAAACATAAAGCAAAATTAAAATAGGATGGAACAGGCTCCCTGTCAACCTTTGCCTTATTTGCTTTTTTTACGTTTTTTCTTCTTATGCTCCTCTGTTCTCGTTTCTTCTGAGGTTTCTGGGGCAGTCTTCAGAGGAGGCAATGTAGCTTTTGCACCAGATCGACTACCTTGTGGTGAGAGCACGTCATGCTCCCGTGTACTCGGCGCACTGCCTTCCTGAGCACCCGACTCATCATCACCCCCAGACATATCATCAGTCTTCTGATATCCGACCGTTACGGCCGCGACAGGCTGGTTATGAGTACCACTGTTGCAAACTTTAAGGTAACAAGTAAGAAAGAAGATGAAAAGGATCACCTATAAAACAATCGCAGTGTGTCAATTTTCTCTTGAAGATATATAATATAATCTCAATAAAAAGTCAGTTGGTGGGCTTTGCGAGGTCGAACCAAGTGTCCTTGTGTTGGGCGTATAGCTGCTATATAGACAAGACACACTTTCACATACATACATACATACATACATACATACATACATACATACATACATACATACATACATACATACATACATACATACATAC